CCCCGCCCGGCCGGCGCGCGCTGGACGGAGGGCCCGGCCCCTGCGGTCCTCGGAGCGCGGGAGGAGCCGCGCCGCCCGCACCACCTTCCTCCCGCCCACCGACGCCGTCCTCTTTACGTTTCTGAGGAACAGGAAAGATAATCTAAAAAGCCGCCCCCCGCCCCCACCCCAAAAGCCCTCCCAGTGATGATTCTTGTGCTTTAGGCCCGGGTTGGGTTAAATACATTCCCGGGGAGCCAGCTGGTCTGGTTCCCGGCAACCCCTCGTATGGTTTCCATTAAACTCGCCAAAACCGTGCACTGAAAACGCAGCCCTGGAGCCGCCCGGGAGCCTCCGGGGTTTTTGCCCTGGCCAGGCTCTTCAGAGAATCTCGGGCCGAGGAGGTGAAGGCCTCTGTTTACGTTCCCAGCCTAGTACCCAGCGGTCCCGGTCTTAATGCTGTGATTACTACGCTTTACTACTCCAGGAAAACCGTTTTCCATGGTAATATTACCATTCATTCATTCAGTATGCAAGGCTTAGCTTATGAGAATTCTGTTTTAATTCTAAAAAGCAATGTCCCTTTACAAAGGGTTTACGAAAATAACGTGGCCACAGAAATTCAATTTGACCAGCAGCACTGGTGTGGTTGGGCTATACCTTCTCTCTTGCCTGTCCCCGATTCCTCTACCCTCAAAAGGCAAAAACAAATGTTAGCTTTGGAAAAATACTCCCTCACAAATGGGTTAGGGTTTGTGGTCCAAAAAGAGGGAGCAGGCTATGATAACTGGAATGTTCCTTAAATTCATCAAAGGTAAGTCTGCTAGTTTATTGAGGACACTCAATGTGGAGGGGCTTAGGGAAGCTCACATGGCTTAGGAGAAAGGTAGTAACTCGGTGCTGCAGCCCGATTTGGGGACGGGAAAGAGACCTGGACATCAAGTGTTTTATCATATACAGCCAAAGGATTTTTATCATATACAGTCAAACTCAATTCATTTATGGCACGTCCTCTCTCTAGCCTTCCTTCATCTGCAGTTCCGTCTCTGTCCTGCCCTGGGTCTTACCTATTTGGGGAGTTACAGCCCTTTCTTCTTTCCTCTAACCTAGGTTTTGCCCCCTTCTTTCTTTTCCTTTGCCTTCCTTCCATTCCTCCCCACCCCTGCCCTGACCATGTGATTTTATTTGGGTTTTTAAAATGAAACCAGGTGCTGCATAAAACAAAAGCGAAGTAATAACAAAGAAAGACTATCCAATGCCTAAGGAATGTGCTGAGCTTTATGACTCAGGCTGTCCTGGCAAAGAACTCAGGCTGACATGGAGAGGTGGGTGGCACGGAGCACAGACCATACATGGCATCCCTGGCCTCTCCAGATAGACGTGGTCAAGGCAGGCTGTGACTCATTTCACAAAACCAGAGACTCTTGTTCTTTGTGGAACGAGACTTCCCCGAGTCTAGGGCCACAGGATCATCAACCTTTCCCAGCCAGGCCAATCCAGTTTAACACAGCAGGGGCCAGGCAAAAGGCCATCCCTGGGAAAGAAGCAGGTTTGATGGATTTGGGCAAGGGCTCTGATGCATTTAGGACATGAATAACACGTAAGCTGCAAAGTGACATGAAAATTTGCATGCATTGTAGCAGAGACAATGGCTTGGGAGTTTAGGTCACAGGATTGCCTGGTGCCTTGGAGGAGGGGGGTGTAGGAGTGCTCCTGGGAGGAGATAGGATGTTTGCTCTTTGCAGTAGTGTGTGGAGCAGCAGAAAAGCTTGCCAGATATTGTTGGGGCTTTTGTGGTGCCATTCCTAATGCAATCAGGAAGAGTAATTCAGAACAAGAGTGGTGGACTTTGCATAAACACCCAGAGAGACACCCAAGTACACATCCTCACATTCTGAGAATTCTTTTCAAATAGTAATGGGGTAAGGTGTACATACTTTCTGTTACTAAGAGACTGAGACTGCTGAGAGCACTAAGGAGAATATCTCTCCTAGTGAAGGTTGTGGGGAGGGGTCTGAACCTGGGTGACAAGGATGTTTGTGCTCCCTTCATTACACAGCCTTGGGTTGAACGGAACCCATAGTGCTCCTTCTGGTTTCTACCACCCCAGAGAAAGCTGTCACTTTTTGTAAGAGAATGAACCTTGACTGGCATAAATGAGATCTCCATGCAGCAGCCTCGTGGAATGGGGGCTTGTTTTTTCTTTTCTTCTTTCTTTTCCTTTCCATGGAATACCCATTGAAAAGCTGTGGCCACTATTCCATAATTGCAGGAAAAGCTCTGCCTAGCCTTTTCATTAAATTCTGCTTACCTGGAAAAATAAAGTCTTTTAAGGGCGATGACTTCATAAATATTTATAGTGTGAACAGGCGTCACTCTGGTTCTGCAGGAGAATGGGCTCATTCAGTTTTGTTTATGATGTGACACCTGGGTGAGTGACATCCGTCATCTGGGTCAGCCCTACACTCTGTTCCACTGAAGCATGTTTATGGAGTGATTATGCCTGCAAATATTTGCTATATTTAGGCCCTCTCCTCCCCTAACCCCCTCTTAGCTCTCTTAAGTCCCCAAATCAGCAAAAAGCCCAAGGGGAAGATTTTGAACCCTAATGATAGGCATAGGGGCTTGAACCTGTGCTGTAGAAACATTCGACAAATTGGGAGGCAATTAGGATGGGCATGCTGACTGTCATTATAGCATTCATATATTAAGGTGGCTTTGTTGGGCCTGTATCTAGCAGGTGAGGGCTCTCAGCTGGGCATGAGGGGTTTTGACAGGCGATGAGCAACAGCCCTGAGTGACGAATGCAGATGGATGCTTATGAGACTCTCCTTCCCAGGGAGCTTTCTCTGGAAGGATCTCACAGGCCCCTCAGGTCTCTCACTATGTGCCACAGGATTCTGGGGACGGGACCTGGTGGGGGCTCTGTGACCTCAGCTGGGTCAAGGTCTCTGGTAGAACCTGAGGCCTGCCCCTCTCAGCCACACCTGGCCCCTGGCGAGGAGGCAGCAGCTGCCCTTCCTCAGCTGTGGAGGAGGGAGGGCCCCTCTGGCTTCCTGGCTTTGTAGCTGCACATGCCCTGTCCTAGGCATGTCAGGCTGGACACAGGCCTACTTCGGGACTCAATATTCGCCTCTGATTGGCTTGGCCACCTATTGTTTATCCCGGGAAGGGCCAGGTCTTGGCACAGGCACCTGAAGTGTTGCCAGCATTTTATTTTTAGAGACAGGAAAATGTCTGCTTTTTGGCAGCTGCTGTTTTTCTGGCACACATCAGGGATAGCGTAAAAAAGTTCGAGTGAGAGATTCCAAGCCCTACATTCATGGCTTATGACACAGGCAATAGCACCATGAGCCTCTTAACAGAAGCCTTGGTGGAGCCTAAGATCTTTCATTAGAGGGGCTCTGGGCAGAGTGGTGGTCCTCCTGCTACACCCTGGCAACGAGAGTCCTCTAGTCCATAAATGTCACAGAATGAGCATCTCATGAGTCCCTTCTGAGTGCATCAGCTGGTCGAAATAGTATTGTTCTTACCTCCCTTTGTCTCCTTATCTACCAATCTATAATCTAGTACAGCTTGGTAGGCAGAGTAAGAAAAACCATCAGTCTACTCAATTTCATGTTCATCAGCCCTCTTCAGACCCACTGACATTGTCATCATGATTGTAGAAGGCAGCCAATTTCCATGGCAAGAAGTGTATTATTAGACTCACGGATTACATTTCCAAATTTTATTGGAAATAATATTTGTCCTAACATGGTTCCCTATTAAAACATATTTTTGTCAGTCCTGTGATTCTGGCTACTGACAATCTATCTGAAAGCATTTTTAAACTGTAATGACATATTATGCAAAGGTAAAGTGGAATGGAAATAAAAGTAAAGAATTAAATTGTGTTTTCTACCTTCCGTTCTCCCCAACTTTTGAAAAAGATGACTTTCTAATTACAAAAATAAAACATGAATACATTCTGCTTTATTGCTTATAGTCTGTGATTGCCTTTTGGATTCATCTTTCTTCTTGCTGGAGTACATCCTCTGGTAGGTTTTCTTTTGTTCTCTCTCCCTTCTCTGTCAGTGGGTGGATACTACATTTTTCTGAGGGCTTGTGTTTCTGAGAATTTACTTTGATCTCTGTCTCTGAGATTTAATTTGGCTTGTTATAGAACTCTTAAGTTCAAATTTATTTTTCCTGAGCATTTCTAAGCTATTGTTTCATTATTTTCTTGAAACTGCTGTGGTTGATGAGCAATCTCCTGTCGATCTGAATCTCATTCCTTTGTAGGTAATTTTTCTGTATCGCATTGTATTTTCACCTTAATATTCTGGAGTTATATTTTGATATTGCTATGTATGAGTTTATTTTTAAAGTTTATTCTCCATGGTACTGATAGGCTCTTTTAATGTGAGGGCTCAGGTCTGTCTTTAGCTCTAGAATGTGGGGTGGGGAGGAGGAAACCAGAAAGGTTAAATTGGTCTATTTGATAAAGTGCTGAGGAAGAGAGGAAAGGGAGTGTGGGCCTGAGTGTTGGGAGGAATTTTAAGGGGTTATAGAGGAAGGAAGAGTAAGAGTTAGAGGGATTCATTGTTAGTTAGGTAAAAAAATGTCTAAAGATGATTTTTAACATCTTTGGCTGTACATTATAAACATACTCCCTTCTTTGGTGTGTTATGGAGAGACTAAGACTTGAATTGCTGTTCATTATATATTTTTTTCTGTGGGATGACTGTTTCTGGGATTTGATACTGAGACTGAACGACAAGACTGCCTTGGGTTAATATGAGTTATATAAACAATTACTATTATTTTTAATGATTAAGCAAATATCTTTCTCTTACTCTGTCTCTCTTTTCCTACCTTTTCCCACACTGTCCAGGCCAGTTTCCTTTTTGATATAATAAGGAAATAAAATAGATGCTCTAAAGTCCTGCTGTTTTTCTATAACTCTCATTCTATCTTACCCATCTGTCATCTACCTACCTAAATATTCTCTTTATGGCTAATAGCTTATAAGAAGCCAAGACAATTTTTTTTTTCACTCATTAGGTAATTTAATTTGTCACCAGATGAGTTGTCATAGATAGATTATAGATTTGGACAGAAAAGACAGCAGAGTGGCCAAACTTATAGCAGGTTTGAAGCCTTAGCTTAAGATCTGCACGTGAAGCTCTGCCAGCCTCCCCAGACATTTAGTCTTTAGACTGAGGAATTTGTTCTATAGGTTCTCTAGGTCCACCCATCGTAGTTGATGTTTGGCATAGAGGGGCAAGATTTGGGAAAGACTGAAACAGGAAGTGATATTCAACTAACAATAGCAACTCTGAGCAAAGTTGAAGGCAGAAGATACAAAATCAAGTTATACTTCTTTTCACTTTCTTCCTGAGACATAACCGTGGAATTGGTTTTTATTTTATCACGGGCATATATTACCTTTTAAAAAGTACTAAATATAGTTGTTAAATTTTTAAAAGTATAAGAAATATAAGAAGAATCATTGGGGGTCCAAATTCTCCTAGGAGATTTGGATTGCATGAGGGCTTTTTCTTCCACTTCTAATATACACATAAAAGCGTTTGATATAATGAGACAGTAAACATATGCAGCCTGAATAATGTGAATTACTCAGTCTCCTTGCTAAAAAAATAAGTATAGTTTGAGTAGCTACAGTCCCAACACCCCTGACAAACACGGAGCTTCTAGTTGTTAGGTGCCGCTGTTCTGACTAGAATATGAGACATGCATAGCCTCTGCCTGAGTAAGTAGGAATGCAGTGTGTCATTTTAACACAGATGACTCCATACATAGTGATTGAAC